CTGTTCCTTGGCCTTCTTCATGTCCTTCTCTACCCGTTGCCAGTCAATTTTGATGTAGCCAGTGTGGTTTGCAATCTGAAGGAGAAAAAATCCTCCTCCCACAGCTGTTGCAGCCAATTTTCCAACCTTCTGGAATATGAAACCTGTGCACCACCCAGTGACACCTCCGATTAACAGCTGGGTTGCAACGCTGTATTTTTCAGCTGAGGGCCCAGTTTCCTGCTCGAACAGCTTGCGCCACCATGGCTGCTTCTTAGCATATTCCGCAAGGTCCAGTGACTCAAAGTGCCCTTGAGTGGACGCAGCCATTTCGGCGAGTTGGTCTCGCGATGACATGCGCGGCAGCTCGGCGCCGAAAGACCCTGAGCTCACATTTGAACCCAGGCCCTTCATCTCCGGAGCCCACACATGAACCGCTGTGCTGGGAAAAGGGGTGGGCACGGGCCGAGGACCAGATCGGTCCTGTAACCTACCATCCTTGTCTTCCAGGCACTTCCCATCCTGGGATGCCAAGGTAGCAAGTCAACTACTGCCTGAAGGTGTAAATGTGTGTCATTTCTCATCTGCCCCCTCCCACCCCCAGGGCCATAGGCACAGAGACTGTATCTTGTTTGTCATGCAAAGCCCTGCCTTGTGCCTGGTAGACAGTAGGTGCTCAATCAATATGTGTCCAGTGACTGACAAATTCAGGAAGGAAGGGGGGAATGAATGGAAGGCAGCTATGCTCACCACTATACCACCAACGCCGACAGGGGGGAATGAATGGAAAGAGAGGGAGAGTGGGAGGAGGGTGGGAGAAAGGCCCAAATTCTGGGCCTTTCTGTCTGGCCAGCCTCCCCCTGCTTCTCTCTTCACCAGATCAGAACATTTGCTGGTTAAGAGAGAGCCAAGAGAGTCAAGCTCACCTCTCCTGGCCCCTGGCCCCAGCCCCACCCACCTCCCAGATGACTCTCCCCACCCCACCCCCACCCTCTTCCTGCTCTTCCCTTATTGCACTCGGAGCTTCCACAACCCTGGCCTTTGCTCACTGCGCTTCTTCTGCCCAGAGGCGCCTTCCCTTGGTCAACCCACCCGGCAGGAATGTCTACTCACTGACCCTCTGGGACTCAGCTCAAGGGTCAGGCCCTGTCTCCTTGGCGATTTCCTTTCCCCAGAGGGAGAGAGCCTGGCTCCAGCATGTTCTTCCTCCAGTGCGTTCAACCGGGCTCCACAGTCATTCACACCTAGTGAGTCCCAGTGAGTCCAATGGCTATTGGCAGGGAAACCCCCAGCACCTGCCCCACGGGCACAGGTGAATCTATTACCCACCAGCCGTAGTGCCCTGCGGCTGCCTCCCAGGCAGGATGTGGACGGATGCCCCAGCAGTGACCAACCAGCCTCTCCCCTTCCTCCTCCTCCCAGGTGGCACTTCATCCAGGTCCCTGCCCTGTGTGAGGGCGGGGGGGGGGGGGGGCGTAAACCCGGAAACCCTGTGGCTTGTGCACCCACACATGTCAGGGTCTGTGCCGAG